GAGCGCAGGCCGTCGCCTCGTCCCGCAGCAAACCCCAGCGCCTCCGAGCACGCGCTCGAGAAGCCACGGACCGGCCCCTGTCCGGACGCCAGTCACATCTGGGGCTGGCCGGCCCTGCCTTCCCACAGCCCAGCCGCCTTGCCCCGTCCCGTGCCACCTAGCAGCAGAAGTGGCACATAAACTGGGGCAAGTGATGGGAAACTGGTTCAACTGTATCACACAGCAGAAGTTACGTGCGCGTTGAGAACGGCCAACGCCAGTTTAAGACCAGCCTGGATGGATGTCCAGCCAGACTTCGCTGATTTAGGTTAACTCGGTTCACTGAACTTCTGTCCCAGATCCCTTCCAGATTCAAGCTAACTCACAATCCCCCAGCATCCCAGGATGCTTTGCACGCCCCCCACAAATGCCCCTTGCCAGTGTGTGTAGGCCTTGGCCCAAGCCAGGGGTGGGCAATTATTTTTGCCCACAGACCACGTAGGCAGTTCTGGGGAGCCACCTCAGGCCACTCAGCACCCCTTCCCCCACCCCCCCCCACCCCAACAGCCCAGAGCCAGCGCCCACCACCAACATAAATTCATAGATTTCTAGAGTCGGAAGGGACCTGGTAGATCATTGGGTCTGACCCCCTGCTTCAGGCAGGAAAGAGCACTGGGGTTAAGTAACCCCAGCCAGATGCCTGTCTAATCTCCTCTTGAACATCTCCAGGGAAGGGGAAAGCACCACCTCCCTTGGAAGCTCATTCCATATTTTGGCAACCCTTACCATAAAGAATTTCTTCCTTATGTCCAATCTAAATCTATTCTCCAGTTTGTAGTCATTATTTCTGGTAACCCCAAGGGGTGCCCTGGTAAACAGAGTGAGTCCTGGGCCTACATCACCTTGCCTTTCTGGGCAGCCCAGGCAACGGCTTCTGGCTGCCACCACTGCTCGCCCCAGCCCCATGGTACTGGCAGGGAACTGCACGCACAGCCCCAACCCTGCACCCGCACCAGACTTGACCCAGTGGAGCAGACCAGCTCCAGACCAGGCAGAACCAGCACACAGCCCCAACCCAGCCCACCCCACACTTGCTGTGGTCCCCCAGCCTGTGCTGAGCAGCCGGGCAGAAACTGCTGCTCAGCGCAGAGGAAAAATGGCAACCTCCCCACTTGCTGCTGTCCTGCCAGAGCCCATGCCCAGGCTGCCCTGCCGCTACTCTGTGCACCCACTGCTGCCCTGCTGGGCAGCCCAGAGGCAGTGGTGACAGCAATGGAGAGGAGCGGCAGGACAGCCCAGGCACGAGCTCCAGGCAGCTGCAATGAGATGCACCTGGCAGCAGCTGTTGGGGGGTACTTTTCCCCTGCACTGAGCAGCATTTTCTGCCTGGCTGCCACTGCTACTGATGCTCAGCACAGGCAGGTGGTACAGAGCAGGTGTCGGGTAGACCAGGTTGGGGCTGTGTGCTGGTTCCAGCTGGTCTGGAACTGATCCACTCCACCAGGCCAAGGCCACAGTGGGCAAAGGGTGGGCTGGGGTCAGGGCTGTATGCGTGGGTCCCTGCCAGTACCACGGGGCTGGGGCCAGCAGCACTGGCAGCCAGAAGGAGCCATCACTGCCTGGAAAGGCAATCCAGCTGCATAGCCACCCCTGCCCTGCTGCGTGCCCGGAGGCATCAGGATGCATCACTGGCCGAAGGCACGTGGGCCGGGCAGAATGGAGGAACATGCTACAGGCTGGACAAAGTCTCTCTGCAGGCCAGATCCAGCCCATGGGCTGGATTTTGCCCACGCCAGACTGTCTGCTCCAGCAGAGCAGGGAGGTATGCTCTAGAGCCCACCCCCCAGCTTCTGGCCTGAGCCACTGCAGACATGTGGCTGCATTTCCACAATCAAAAGTGAATGTCTGTTCACTTGTTCGTCGGTTCAATTTATGCCACTTAGACTAACCTGTGAAGATTTAATCAGTTCAGCCTCAGGCTTTTTGATTGCCTGTACTTAGCCCTTCTTTTGTTTCCCATAGTTGTGGGGGAGGATAGAAGTCACAGCTGAAATCTCAGCTCCCTGCTGCCAGGATTCTGGCTCTCCCATCCCTGGCTCCTCTACCTCTTCTCTCTCTCTCATCTAAGTAGAGAGAATTGGGGCAGGAGAGCCAGGATCCAGCCAGGACAGGGAGTGGGACCTAGCAGCTGCACAGCCTGACAGGCTGGTGGTCAGACTGTCCGCCTCACTCTCTGGATAGGGAGGCTGGAGCCCCGTGGGGTTCTGGAGGACCTGCATGTCCCGTTCCCCCCCGCAGTTTCCATACACGTGTGACAACTGAAATGCTTCATGACACCATGGTGATGGTGTTGGCCCAGATGGTTTTACTGTACCTGGCTGGGGAGATCTTCTCAGCCTTGAATCATTTGGTGTAGTTGAGAGTGAGGGTGGAGACCTGTCCATTGCACTGCAGGGACCCCTACAAGAGTCTATTATAGCCTCCCAATGGGAGGATCTTAGCTACACATTTTTATGGTAATTGGGGATTGTTTTCCAGCTCTCCTTCTTGCTTGCTCCTATAGCCTTTTTGGCTAGGGGCAAATGAAACTAGGGGGCATCTGAACTCCAAGGCCTCTGGGCTTGGGGGCTTGCATGTAGGATGCCTGCCATGGATTTGGGAATATCTGAAGCTTCAAGCTAAAGGGTCTGGTAGGATACTTGTTACATGGTACCACATGGACTTGAATGACTGAGTACCACATGACTTTTCCATGTAGCACCACTGGACTTGAATGACTGAGCTCTGCTTAGCTGATAGAATTCAGAGCTAATGTGGCTATTTTGGTCCGAAACAAAAAATTTAAAAATATATATATTACCTCATTTCAAGAGGTGCTCTTTTTTGGAGCACTCCAGCTGTGGGAATGTTTCGAAGGATGTGTGTGTGAGTACAACTAGCCCTTTGAAATGTTTTAAAGGTATTTGAAATATTTAAATTGTTTCTTCTGGCCACACTCCCCTGCCACACGACTTTAAGTATGGTGGGATGAAAACAATATCTGAAAGATTTGCAGGTATCATTTGGATATCCATGCATCTATAGAAGTTGATTTCTACTACGATAAAAATGCCATTCTTGGTTGTAGAGAGACTTTACATTAGCAGCTCATTGCCTCTAATTTTCAGACCATATTAACAGAAATTTTCAGTGACTGCTTCTTACAAAAGAATTGAATTGGATAGTGACCACTCATAGGAGCCATTAAACACCACTTTAAGTGTTTACAGGATTAGAAACTTAATTATTATATCTTCTTACAACAAATTATCAGTGTGGATAGCACACGGCCTTAATAGCTGTTGATTTTTGGTGAGCAGTTGATAGTGAAGCAGTCCTATCATTCTCCTCTTCCCTCTCCCCTTCACTTCAGTATACAGAACCTGGTAACAGATCTAGTTGTTTCTGTTTTTCTGCTGTGGTGCATGTTGATCAAGCTGTACTATTGATCATTTCATTTGTTATAACCAAGAGAAAAATGAGATCTTAGTGCTGTGGTAAATTAAGGTATACAGAATATTAATCAAAGTAAAACAGGTTACTACTTCAGCAGAAAAAAAACATGTAGAATAAGGATAAGAAGAAATCCTCCAAAGAATGTTGCAGAGATTCCTTCCCATGTCATCTGTTAAGAAGATGGAGATACTGCCTCTGTGATAGGAGAGTCTGTGGAACCCATCACTAAGCCTGGAGGATCCACAAGTTTCCACCAAATGCCACTAAACTAGTTCTGGGATTGGGATACTTTTATTTACTATTAAATATGGGCTTAGTTGCCTAAATTTAATCACCCACATTTGACAAAATTGGTCTTAAGAAACAATAGGTTATTGACAGAGAATAACATATAATAAGAAAGAAAATAAGCAAGTATGACAATATACTTTCAAAATTCCTGTCTATTTTATAGTCCCAACATTTGAGAATGAACTGAAGAGAATCAGGATTTAAAGAAATATATTTATATTGGGCTGAAATATGCATGTTTCTGAAAACATAAGACACAGAATGTAGACAAAAATATATGCAATTTTGTTTTGGAAAAAATACAATTTAATACTTACCAAATAGCAACATGTAGTGACAATGCTGACAAATCCAGTTAAGTTTTCTAAAAAGTAATAACAAAAGAAAAACTTCAACACTGTTAAAATAACACACACGTATAATATAGCATTTATCATCCCTGTGTTGATATAGTATGCACATACGGCTTCAGGACTAGGAACACTGGCCTTAAACTACAGCAGAGGAAGTTTAGTTGGAGATTAGGAAGAACTTTCTGACTATGGGGGTAGTCAGGCATTTGGACAGGCTACATAGTGAGGTTGTAGGATCTCCATGCCTGGAAAC